TTATTAAACAAAGACGTTTCGCTTTAACTTCTGTTTCATGGTAGTTAGATTGGAATCAGAATGAAATTTTTAACGGTATTACCTTGAAATTGTATCTAATTTGGATTGAACCCCTGGGAATATCAGAAAGAGGCTTTGGTAAATAAGAGGAATATTATAATCCTTAAGGAGAATTAAGTTTAAAATATAATCAAGACGTTCTCTGATGTACTGAACGGCACGAAGAAGTTATAGAAAATTTTTATTAAATAAGATGTAGACCAGGGCGGATCTGTTTTGGGGTGGATGTGAGAGGGGGCAAGCAATTTTTTTCTGGATTACCTTCAGTACAACTCGCATAATAAAAGTGCAGATCCTTAGATCTGGGCGAGACCCGGAACATTTTCAAAATTGCAAAAATGTTTAAAAAATACCTATTTTATCGGAGTTTTTTACTTATATCTTGGAACCTAAGCATTTTGGAAGAATATTGAAGAGGAAAAAAGTTTTAGAATTGAATTTTGTACAATATACTGTAGGTTAAAAATGTTTAAATATATTACCGATGTTGCAAAATAGCAATAATTGATGAAAATAATTCAAAATAATCAAGTTTTTTGGATAATTTTTTTTAAATATTTTAATTGCTCCGAACGCATTATAATTTTGGTAAAAAAAAACTTTAGAGTATAATAAAACAACACACCAGATTTCATTAAAATCGGTTGGATAGTTTTCGCAAAATAATTTTTTGAAAAAAATTTTGAAAATAAATTTTCTAATTTTTAAAATATAGCGCAGCCTCAAATAAAGCATGTAGATACTTGAAAATTTTTTCACATAGAAATGACCGCTCAACCTTTCAACCGGTTTTTGAAAAATTTAAATGGTTGATTAGGATGGCCACAGTAAAGAGTGACCGCAAAAAACCTGTGATTTTCGCCCGTTTTTTCACAATTCGCATAGAATTTAAAAAAATACATAAAAATATGTTTTTGGTCGCAAATTACTTATAAAAAACTGAAATGAGCATAGTTTTTAGTATTCTGAAAATTTTAAAAATTACCCCCACGTAGGGGTGGAAAAAATGCCGAAAATGAAGAATTTGAATATTACCAATTGATATAAAAACTATTAGCATGTGAATTATCTTAATATATTTTTTTTTTGGAATTTTTACAATTACTTCTGATATTCTCTATTTTCGGGGATGATTCCACCCCCTGAGCGCGCTTAAGGGTGGATTTTCTAATTCAACATGCTTATTTCAGTCATGAGAATAAATCTTTCTTTGTATCAATAATCATTCGATAGAAAAATTCACATGCTAATAGTTTTTATATTTATTGGTAATATTCAATTCTTCATTTTGGGCGTCTTTTCAACCCCTAAATAGGGGTGATTTTTGAAAATTCAAAACAAACAAAATATGTGCAAATTAGACAGTTGACATTATGATATTCGTATTCCTTGGTTAGCAAGACATCGGATTAAAAAAAAAAGACTCGGAAAACCGAAGCCACTGGATCAAAAATTATTGTTGTTGTTTATAAATTAACGGTAAATGCCGATAAACTTTGACCGCTTATATCTCGAAAACCAATAAACGGAATTTGACTTTTTTTTAAAGAAGCGTCTTTCCGAGTACATTAAAGTTATAATTTTTTTGAAAAAACTAAATTACAAATTGATAAATGTAATCTAATTTTTTAAAAATAAAAAAAGTATTAACTGGGGCCATTCCAATCAACCGATTTCAATTTCTGAAAAACCATTTGTAAGGTTGAGCGGTCTTTTCTATGTGAAAAAATTTTCAAGTATCTAGATGCTTTATTTGAGGCTGGCAACACTTAATTTAAAAAAATATATTTTGCGAAAACTATCGAACCGATTTTAATGAAATTTAGTGTGTTGTTTTATTATACTCTAAAGTTTTTTTTACCAAAATTAGAATGCACTCGAAGAAATTAAAATATTTTTAAAAATTGTCCAAATGACTTCTTTTTTTTCATTAATTACTACTATTTTGCGACATTGGTAAAAAATTTAAACAATTTTAACTTGCGGTATATTGTGCAAAATTCAATTCTAAAACTTTTTTTCCTCTTCAATATTCTTCCAAAATGCTTAGGTTCCAAGATATAAGTAAAAAACTCAGATAAAATAGGTATTTTTTAAAATTTTTAAAACATTTTTGCAATTTAGAAAATGTTCCGGACCTCGCCCAGATCTAGGGATCTATACTTTTATTATGCGAGTTGTACTGAAGGTATTCCAGCAAAAAATAGCTTGACCCCTGGTGTAATATAGTACAGACACTTCACTATTCCACGTTTGGTACTGTCCACTAAAAATCCCTAATCAGCGGAGTAGTTGGCTGTATTTACATGCAGTTTTATTACCAGGTCTGCTCCTAATGACACAGCCGGCAATGTTCTCAGCTTTGCTCGCGATATCCGCGTGAAATTAACCTAACTACACCCCCTACTTCTCGAGTACAACCCACTCCCTTACATTTACTGCTGTCGAGCACGAATGGCCGTTTAACTTCGCATATAATGATCAATCCGTTAGCGTGATCGGCTCTGGATCGCGGCGATTTTTTACGGAGGTAGTGCAGCGTAATTAACACCTTTATCGGGAATCTGCCACTGTTAATTTTCTCCGTTTACGCCGTTAACAGGAGGGCCGTTTTATCGCCGTAATGTCATAATATTCGCGTCGCGTGGGGTCTGTTCCCATGCCACGTCGATGTCGTGTTTTTTTTTGGTTTAAGTCGTAAATAAAGGACTTCACAATTTTCCAGCCTCTAATACAAATTTATCATGGAATTCGAGAACGCGAGACTCGAATTCCATGGCTTATTGTAATAATTAGGATTTTTGAGTCCCGAAAATAACGGCCCCTGTTAATTACGCCTAGGCACTCGTTAACGTTTTGTTAATTCCGTTTAAATGCGGGTTCGGAACCGGCGTTTGTCCCGCGCAAATAATTCGACGAGGCGTCGCCGTAGCTCCTGCCCTTATCGTCGTTATAAGTTATGTTGTGTGTTTTTGTATTTACCCGTTCTTGTTTAAACAAAACTATAACATCGCGCGGCGGCGGCCCTTTCGGCAGCGGGCGGCTCTCTTTGTGTAATACGCTGCTGCAAAATTAATAAGATCCGGCAAATAGCAATTAATTAAGGAAAGGAGGAACTGCGGGGGTAGAGGAGGGGATCGGGGCTACGTTTTTGGTATGCCGTCTAAACCCTGTAACTATGGTGGTGAAATAATTGTACAGGGTGTCTCAGATTCGATAACATGGAATAATATATGATTTTTTTCAAAAACGTGCAAGGAAATAAGCTCTCCCGCCATCCCAACGTCTTTTTACCACGACGCGTCTTCTTCAATGCAGTCGGCGGAGACGATAATGCACATTTTTCGTTAATTTCGCATTCCCCGAGCTCCCGGGTAAATTAAAAGCAAACTTTAGATGGAATATTAACTTTTTATTCAAGGAGCCCTTATCATACAATGTAATTTCTTAGAAAATCTGCATAATTCCGGGACTGACTAATGGATTCCCTCGAAGAAAAGCGTTTTATATTGGAGAGATGTTCGCAGGAAAAATACGGCAGCTGAAATTATTCGATTCGCGCTCAAATTGGTTTTAGTCCTATAGAATTTGATTCAGTCCGTTGAAAATTAAATACTTGCATTTTATTCAGTAAGGCAGTCGGAGTTTTTGTTTTGAAATTAAAAGTCCAACAAATGTATTCAACTTTATTTTGATTCGGCATTTCTGTCACATTGAAACAAAATAAAAAAATAAATAAGCGAGTTTTAAGTCAATTTGAGAAAGGAGAAAGCAAGGTCTACTCTGTCAGGGTGAGATATCCTTTTGACTTATATTTTTGGCGCAAAAGGTTGGTTATTTTTTTTAATAAACTTTTGTTTTTATGTGGCAAAAATATCCACTCAAAAAGTAACTAAAAATGTCCACAAATAAATAATTACAGACAATATAAAAATATCGAAACTCTATTTTAAAGATCTCGGTGAAAATAATGCCTAAATATTGACTAATTTCCACAGGGTGGTCTCGAAATGCGTTCCCATAGATTTTTGTCAGATATTTCAATAATTTTTACACCTAAAACTAAATCGTGATGTTCATGAGATTCACAGCGTCTGTTTTAATTTTTTTATGATTTAAATGAAGACAAAATGAAAAGGAAATAGTAATATTTTATTTGTGATTAAAAAATTGTAAAATACCCGACTAATGACGGTCAGCAAACAATTTTTCCATCGCCATAGCAAGACTGCCAGATATGTATCTTTAATAACGAGTCTGGAAAACTAGCTGTCCATCACAGTACGCGATTGCAATTCCAAGCCGCCGATTCTAGTTCGAATGGGACGTCACTTAACCCCCTACTATTAATAATAATTGTTGGAACGGTCACGGAAGCGAAAGATCCATTTCCCGGCGCCATCAGTTGAGGAAATTTCCGCCGCTCGCGATATTTAATCTAACACGTCTGACAAAGAAAAATCGTCGCCTCCTTTGACCGGATAAAAATTTAAATTTGGGCTACGTCCCTCACCCGCCGACTCGATTTATTTGAGAACGTTGATGACGCCAAAATCTTCTTACAGCTAATGCTAGGCGTCACTTAGAATTCGTCAGCAGTTTTATTTAATTCAATTAATCTCCCTAGTCGTACGTTTTTTTCTTGCAATCGCCGCCGTTTGTACCAGATCTTAATCCATTGAATACTCCTACAAACAGTGGCATTACTGTTACCGTATAGCGTCATTTGGACATAAAAATACGATAATAAAGAAAGATTACAAGAAACGGAATATAAGTGTTTAAAATTGACTTTTCTATTTTTAACAGTGCAAAGAGACATACGAATATTTTTATAAGAGTAGATTAGTGAAATCAGAAGTGGGATCGGCTATAAAAAATGTACGCCGCGATAAAACTCCAGTCCGTAAAAAAACCTAAAGCCGTAAATTCTTCCTCAGGTCGACACGCCAGACAGCGTCCTCCAGAGCGGTCTGGGTCTGACAGATCTGGGCCAGCACGCCGTCCTGCGCTCCATGGTGGACCCCCGTGACTACGACAGGCTGAGGCACCTGCAGATGAACGGAGGCACGCCGAACACCTTCGAAGAGACAATCTATAAGGTGAGATCATTTGGGTTCCCCCCATTTCCTTAAAAAAATAATAAACTATGAATTGGAAGTATAAGCAAGATTTAAAAAGGGTTACTTTAGAATTTTGACATGTTTGCGGTTATTTTTTTATATTTTAATTAAAATAAACGTAACAATTTATTTAGACTATTTTTATTTAGTGATGTATTTCAAAAGTTTTTAATTCTCTTACGAGCCGGGATAGCGAAAAAAAATTATAGTAATTCCCTTTTATATCTGGCCCTCGTAAGTCGGCAATGCATCCGTTGCGGTCGTAAAGAGGGCCGTAAAGACTCTCCCTCCCCCCGCGAAGCGGCAGCGTTCCTGGCCGTAAAAACCGGACGCAGGATAGCAAGGGACATCCTGATTTAGGACTCGCGGCGGTCTACGCCTGGGAAAAAGCGAACCAGGACGCGGCGCGAGCCGCCGGACTCGGGTCTAGTGATAATGTTTACGGGCGGCCGCGATAGAAAACGGCCGTCTGGGGAGTTTTAAGTGGCCATCGGGAAGACGGACCGGCTGGGTATGGCCGTCGGGTGGGTTGAGGTTGATCGGTTTGCAATAATCACCGGGATCATACTGCACGAGGCTGTGCCGATTTGATGGCATTACTTACTTTGACGAACAACAGAGGGCGCTTTCGTTGTATTTTGTGCCTGCTAGAAACAGAAATACGCAGTAAAGTAACGTTTATCCCTCTCATCTCACCCCACCCCGTAAAGCCGCCACTGGGCGCCCGCTCCACGCGGTGGCCGCGCTCCTCGTTTCCAACTAACATTTGTTTTGTTTCTTTTTCCAGCTGAAACTGCAAGAGGCTTTAAGGAAGAGGGAAAAATTCACGAAGGAGCACGAGGAGGTAAGTTGGACTAATTTATCGGTGCAATTGGAATGGCGATTACTCTCGCAAATGGATGATGATCCCGTTTTTGCTGGGGGGGCTCGCCTAAGCCCTCCTAAATCCCTCGGCGGGCCTTACGTCTCGCTTTAAATTGCTTAAAAAGCGCAGGAAATCGGCGTCGACGGGCGCGAGCGAAATTGGAAACGAACGCGAATTCGCTAAGTGCAGTACATCTGTTAGTTTTTGCTTTTGCGTAAAAAAATGTATCTTCAAGCGTTTTAACTAGTTTTATCTGCACTGGGGACATTACATTGTCCAAAAGGCATGCGCAGAAATTCATAGAACTGGTAACGCAGTCTTATGACGCTTGCGTAAATCAAAATCGCATTAAACTGTGACAGCTACAAGCGAAAGAAAATCGCGTTATCGGATGGGCGGCCCCGGAATTTTACCGCCGACTAGACTTTCGCATTTCACGGACAATAAAACGTGGCTTATTTTATGCTTAAACCTATACACATGGAATCCGCCAGATAGCTCCATATTATAGTGTTTATTGCAAATTGGCAGTATCGGTCGTAAAAAGTAACGTACGAATTTAATACGTCTACTTTCGGCTACCACATACGTTTGCGGTTAACGTGTGCGCAACACTTTACGAGTTATTGGATTCGGAAATCGCCAGATGTCGAAGAAACGTGGACAAATTGTTTGGTATTTATCCTTGCGCAAGCAGAACCGCTAGATGGCGTCCTGTAATTTTTTTTCGCGTCTACTGAATGGAAAACTGATTTTAAAGGAAGAATCTGGTCTATTCTAGAATTCTGTATTCAGTTCTGGCTAACAATGTTATCTTTTATGGAGTAGGTAATGTAATAAAAGCAGTGGCCCCGGATGCGATAAATTTCCTTTGAGCGGGCATTCAAATTCATAACCGAGAGGGACATAAGTTATTTTTTGACAGGAATAAAACGAATTTTTACTGGCGTTCCGTTCTGCTAAAAATATGTATCCCCCACTTGGGAATTCCACCTTCCACGGCGCTGTTTTCAGTGGTAAGGGGGGAATATCGCGATGTGGAGACCCCTGCTTGTTGATATACGCTACTATAGTCGGTGCTTTTAACTTTTAATATAAATCGAATTTGGTTAAGCTACCGCGGAAGAAGGAGTTTCATTGTTGGTTCACACGTGCAAAAAGAAAAAAACAGTTGAAAATAGCCTTTTTCGAAAACTGTCATCAAAAGTTATTTTCGTTAAATTTTTAGTTGAGAAAGTGAGTCTTTTTTTATCACGTACCTCTAAATATGTCTCCTAGATTAGCCTAAAAAAGACGAATATTTTTTTTTTCGTGTCTCTTGTGAAAACATGTTAGTTTATCATGTTTTAAGTGCCCCCTCAAAAAATCAGCTCAACAAAAATTTTTTTAGAGGTCGCTCAGGATTTTTAACAATTTCCAAAATCGTCAAACATTGAATTTTTTTTCTCGTTATTTTATTATTTCCTGGGTTGAAAAAAATCTCGTTTCTGAAAATTTCAAATAGATATTTTAATTTTTAAGTCACTCATAATTATTTTAACTTTAAAAGTAGTGTACCTAAAATGTTTTCAGCGACCTCTAAAAATAAATATCAACGAACTAATATTTTTTTTTATCGAATTTGATGAACAGAAGAATAGAAATAAATCACGAAATATTTAAATTTTAAAAAATTAAAAAATTATAAATATTTGATACTCACAGTGCGGTAGTAAATGCCTCGAGAAATTTTTTAAGTGTCTCGTGATTTATTTATATTCTTTTGTTTATCAAATTTGATGAAAAAAATTATTAGTTCGTTAATATTTAATTTTAGAGGTCGCTCGAAAACATTTTAGGTATCTACACTACTTTTAAAGTTAAAATAATTATGAGTGACCTTTAGAAATTAAAATATCGATTTGAAATTTTCAGAATCCAGATTTTTTTCAGGAAATGATAAAATAACTAGAAAATTTTTGTTTTTTTTTTTAATTCAATTTTTGACGATTTTGGTAATTTTTAAAAATCTTGAGCGACCTCTAAAAAATTTTTTTTTGCGCTGATCTTTTGAGATGATAAAGTAACATATATTCACAAGAGACACGAAAAAAAATTATACGTTTTTTTTGGGACTGAAAGACCACCCTCTCATGTCGTTTAATGGTGGTAATATCGGCCCCTGCATCGGCTAACAGAGTGGTTGAACGTCTAAACCAGTGCCCTGTATAAGTTTCCGGACAAGGCAAATTGAGATACTTAAGTTACTATTTCCTCTGGCACATTCCTTATTTTGTTGACGCCAACCACTTGGTTAACACATTTTCCCTGTCATACTTTACAAAAAATNATCACGGGATATTTAAATTTTAAAAAATTAAAAAATTATAAATATTTGATACTCACAGTGCGGTAGTAAATGCCTCGAAAAAGTGTCTCGTGATTTATTTCTATTCTTTTGTTTATCAAATTTGATAAAAAAAATTATTAGTTCGTTAATATTTATTTTTAGAGGTCGCTCGAAAACATTTTAGGTACCTACACTACTTTTAAAGTTAAAATAATTATGTGTGACCTTTAGAAATTAAAATATCGATTTGAAATTTTCAGAATCCATATTTTTTTCAGGAAATGATAAAATAACTAGATTTTTTTTTTTTTAATTCAATTTTTGACGATTTTGGTAATTTTTAATAATCTTGAGCGACCTCTAAAAAATTTTTTTGAGCTGATCTTTTGAGGGGGCTATTAAAACATGATAAATTAACATATATTCAAAAAAATATATTCGTTTTTTCGTGTCTCATGTCGTTTAATGGTGGTAATATCGGCCCCTGCATCGGCCAACAGAGTGGTTGAACGTCTAAAGCAGTGCTATGTATAAGTTTCCGGACAAGGCAAATTGAGATACTTAAGTTACTATTTCCTCTGGCACATTCCTTATTTTGTTGACGCCAACCACTTGGTTAACACATTTTCCCTGTCATACTTTACAAAAAATCTTCGACTTGTGGTAACTGCCGGTATATCTTCATTTGGTCTGGACTTGAAATCACACAACATCTCGGAGAATGAGTTTTGGAATCGAGAATTCTTATAATAATAATTGAATCTTTGTCTTCTATATCATGGATCGTTATCTTTAGTAGCTCGTCTCTTCTCAAAGCTCCACAAACACCAATTATTAAAACGACTTGAAAAGTTGTCCAAAATTAGTTAAATCGATCGAATTACATTAATTTGGATTACCTTTTTTAGCAGAAATCTATTACCAAGTGTTTTTTGTAAGAATCTCTCAATTTCCTCTTTGTTAGAATTCTGGACTTTGTCGAACGGTTTCCAACTGATTTGCTTTTCAAATGTGGTATTAGTTTTGGAAATTTTCCGATATTTACATTTTTTTTTTGGCATTCAGTGTACTTTTTAACATGGAGTATACTGATCATAACGTCGAAGGTTTAATTTTTTAAATTTTATGTTCGAAATATGCCAGTAATATCGCTTCGGATACTTTTTAAATTTTCTTCCCACCCTTTGAACTCGTAGGCAATCTCGTACTATCTCGACGATTTTTTGGGGATTAATTGTGAAACAGCACTTTGTGTCGCTTCGAATACTTCCCTTGGCAAATGCTCGTCTTCACTTTCCGAGCTCATTTTGAATGAAACACATGAGAATTGTAGTAACCTGTTTCAAATATTTAAAAAATCCCGCGCGATTTACTTATTCGAATAAGAAGAAGAAGAAGAGGAGATCTGGAGTAAATTGTGTTCTTAGTTCTACACTTCTTACTTCTTAGGCTTATGGTTAAGGAAAAAGAGAGGTTATGTGTTATCTTATGTACGAAAAAGAAGCACTGTTAAGATTTGTCTTTATGGAAAAATAAAGTTTTAGATTAAAATATAGTGTGCCTTCCTGAAACAGCGACCCAGATAGAGCTCCCTACAAAATGTGAATTACAATACATATACAATTCCGACAGTACTTTTTCACAACTAATTTTTAGTTATATATAACAATTTTTTAATTTTATTGCAGTTTTTGAAAAAATATTGGTTGCATCTCATGGTTGGTTTATAAAAAAGTATTAGTCCTAACTTAGCCGTAACTTAACCATAATCTTAGTCCTAAAAAGTTAAATGTACAGAATGCTTTTGCGTTCTCGAGTGGATATTTTGCTTCGCTAAGCTCTGCAAAACGCAAAAGTACCATTTCGCGTTCTAGATACAAAAATAACTGTTTTAATGTAAGTTGTAATACGACGATTGGTGTGTCAAATCATATAATTCAATATATTATATTTGTTTCAGATTTTAAGAGACATAAAACAGGGTTTATTGCAATTAGGAAAAGAAGGCATTCGAGGACCTTTATCTGGAGGTGAGTTAACGGTAATAAAACTGTTTCAAAACGTTCTAGCTAAACTTACAGCGCTGTCTATTATTGGTTGAATGGTTTCCGGTCTGGTTGCCACGTCGTCGATTTACAACTCTTGACATTTCGAGAGACATATCGCTCTCTGAAAGAAGACTTCTTTCTTCTGAAGAAGAGAGCGATATATCTCTTGAAACATCAAGAGTTGTAAATCAACGGCAGGCAACCAATCCGGAAATCATTCAACCATTAACGACAGACACGGAAGCCTACAAACAAAACGCCATCTATTATATTTCATAAGAAATAAAAAAATAACCTCAACAATCCCGCTTTTAGTGATCGAGTTAAACCCATTATTAACACTCTGCAAAACGTCGTTAGCGTTTTTAGAGCTTTTTCGTAAACGATTGCCGATTTCTTGTAATTCCTCCATTTTAGACGACACCTACATGTACGACGAGGACGCCCGGATGCTAGCCCCCGGCACCCACTCACTGGGCCACTGGTACGACGAACCCCCCTACGAGAGCGACCCCGAGGATTTCCTGATGGGCGGCAGCCCGGGACCCACTGCCACCATACAGAACGGCAGGGTCTGTTTCACCCTCAACCTGAGGCAGGAACCCCGAGGCGAGGGGATCATCAGCCTGAGGAGCGCGGGGGACATATCTCTGCCGAGGGAGATCACCCCTTCCGGGATAACGCCCAGGGGGACGCCCAGGAGGGGGCTGATCCTGCCCCCGCAAGCCGGGTATCCCCCGGCCATCATCCCCCTTAGGTGAGAGTACAGTCCGTTTTAATGGAGGTTTTCTAATTTAATTTTTTTTTAATTTCTAATGAATCCGTCTTTATTTACGAAATGGCGTCTTGAATTTTACGATACTCTTCAGACACGCTTTACGTTTTAGGTATCCGTCTTTATTTACGATATTCTTCAGACGCGCTTTACATTTTAGGTCTTCGAGGGACAGGGAAAGCGGGGATTACGCGGGTTCCGACGTCCAGAGCGTAAGCTCCAGACTGTCGACGCTGTCCGTGGACACGAGCCGTTCCGAGCAGCAGGAACTGGGCCAGATAATCTCGCCGCAGTATTACACGCAACTGGAGAGCAAGATCAGGCATTTCAGGAAATCGGCAGGGTACCCCCGAAGCGAGGACGGGCTGTCGCCCAGTCAGAGCTCCGACTACGAGGATCAGGAGGATTTCGCCAACTGCACCCAGCAGGTGGCGACTGTGCACGTGGTACGCTCAGAATTCTAAGAGTTTTGTGGAAAATCTACAAGACTTGTTCTAACAATTTTTTTTTCGAACTTGCAGTCGAGTGACGGCAGATCAGCGGGCGTGTCCGGAATAGTGGGCAAAGTGAGGGGGATCAGAGAGGACGTCCAGAGGAAAATTTCCAGGTTAAAAAATGATGCTGCCGAGCAACGGGCCGCGGAACAGGCGTTCCCCTGCTCCGCCAGCTCCGTGGAGAGCCTGCCCAGCGGATCTGGATCCAGTAAGTAACTTTCCAACTCGAAAATTCATGACAAACCAACTAATTACCATCATTCGATCGATGTCCAGGTACCCAGGCTTTGGTACGTGCGGGCAGCAACCACAGCTCCATATCGACTGAAGAGCCAGACCCGAGCCCTACGGACCAAATAGTGGGAAGGGCCAGAGCGTTAGTGGACCATACTCCGAGTCCTTACGACAAGGAAGCATTAAAATTTAAGGTATCGCGTTGAGCTCGCCGCCGACCACGCGTGTGTATCAATTTTTTTTTCCAGGCTGGTGATATAATAGATATAGTTTCAATGAGCGCTAGTGGCCAATGGAGGGGGATCTGTAGGGGGAGGAAAGGCACGTTCAAGTTCATCAACGTGGAACTGCTGTCGGAAAGGTCGGTGAAGATGAAGCGAGAGATCAAGTGGCACAGGAACATCAAGGGGAAGCCCGCCTCGGTGGAGGAACTGCTGCAGAAGATCAACCTGCAGGAGTATATTTCCGTGTTCGTCCTGAACGGGTACGAGGATCTGGAATTGTTCAAGGAGATCGAACCTTCGGATTTGGATTATTTGGGGATCGTCAATGCCGACCATCGGGCGAAGATCCTGACTGCGGTGCAGCTCCTTCACGACTTGGACTGTAAGTAAGATCACTTCTAGGACTTGTAAAATACCGCAGCGTCGTGCAATGGTTCTGTTTTAAAAAAAAATTGTTTGCTTGTGGTATTTCACAAAATCCTAGACAAAATTGTGTGTTGCAGTTTTTAAGATTTGTTACTCGTATAATACTGCGTATGATTTTTGGACGGTTTCCAAATAAAAAAATATTTGACTGATTTAAAAGGGGGAACTAATAAGTTTTTGCATATACATCAAACTGTTTCATCAGGAAAATTTTCCCAACGACATTTAATGTATGTTCTATACTTTGTAGTCACGTGACTTTTTAAATTGGCGAACAGCCCGTAACTTTTTTATTTCTCGACTTAGAAGGGTGCGGTTTGGTTTGTTGGAATCTTCGGACGAAATGCTAGAGCGGCACCAGAATTAGTTTTTCGATATTTTCTACGGTTAAAAAGATAAGGTGGGGATTTGTTAAGGCACGTTTTAAGTCACGTGA